TGGCCACAAGCAATTTTGTCAAAATCTTATGAGAAATATAGTATATATATATACTTCTCTATATAAATCATATAAAACCATATAGGACTCTTAATTTTAAAAACAATAAAATGATTATAAAGGATATATAAGAGTCAATTTAACAATACTGAGGGTAAAAATATTATTAAAATTATTAATTTACAATATACTGAATGTATTAATTTAATAATTTTTTTACCCTCTCACAATCAGTATTAGTAAATCAACTCTTAATCATATTATTACTTCTTAGTATATACAGGGTGTCCCAGAATGACTGCATTTTCTCTTAAGAATGTATTCTTGAGGTAATTTTGAGACGAAAATCCTGATACAAAAATGTCGAGGCTACAATAGTTTTTGAATTATAATTGGTTAAAGATAGTTTGTAATTCGATAACTATTATAACCTCGTATTAGGATTTTCGTCTTAGAATGTTTAAAAGAATTCGGAAATAATAATAGAGGCTATAAAAGTAAAATGATTTTTTATCTATAAGCATTTAAAGTTAGTTTATAATTCAAAAAATTATTGTAATCTCAATATTTTCGTATTAGGATTTTTATCTTAAAATTACCTCAAGAATATGTCAGTAAAAGGAAATGCGGTCATTCTGAGACACCCCGTATATATATATATATATATATATATACATACTGTTTCACTTTAACTTATACTTTAATTAAGAATATAAAATGAGACTAAATATGAGAGTATACTGTTTCACCCTATAATCTTAATTAAAGTTAAGTAATTAAGTAAAGTAAAATGAGACAAGCAAATATTTAAAATGAAGTAGTATATACATGTACAGGGAAAAATATGTATCTTTCTCTCTCATAGGATTTTAATAAAATTGCTTATGGACAGACTCTGTCATACAGTCTCCAAATGATAAATAATTATTTATTTCATCTTTAGGTTTTGAAATGTTGATGAAAATGGGGTACAAACCTGGTCAAGGAATAGGCAAGACTCAATCAGGAATGACTGAACCAATTCCTGTGGAAGTGAAGGCAGACAGACAAGGTCTAGGCAAAACGCTAAAGAAAGATACATACAAGCCTAAGAATACAAATGCAAAATTAAATAATATGGATACCAGAGATTTCCGTAACAGGTTAGCCCAAGAAAAGGCGGAACAGCTGCAGAAGATCGATTTGTACAAAAGTCAAAAAGTGTGTCAAGAATTAGACACTAAAGAAAACGTCGAAAAACCTGAAGAGTCATGGTTTTGGGTAGAGAATAAAGAAGAAAAAGAAGATGACGATAACGATACCGATGACAGTGATGACGTTATCGAGGATGACGAAACTCTCAGCAATTTAGAAAAACTTGACATTCTTACCAAGTATTTAAGAAAAAAATACTTTTACTGTATCTGGTGCGGAACGAAGTTCAACGACGAAGACGATTTAAGAGATAATTGTCCGGGAAGTACAAGAAACGATCATTGAGTACGTTAAATAAAATGTTATATTTATAATGACTTAAATAATATTATATTTATATTATATTAGAAAAATGATATCAATAAATTTTGGACATCTAAAACATTCATTAAAAACATTCTCCAATCTTGTCGAGCGTGTATCTCAAAACATGACAAACACACAAATGAAAGAACCCTAGGTAAAATTACATTACTTAAATATATGATCAATTTCCATTATGTGATACACGAGACATAAAAAACCCATTAGCGGATATAATGCAAAACATCGAAAAAGCAATATTCCGGACGAGAAAAAAATCGAGTACTGAACAACTACTAAGAACAGGGGAGTCCTTACTTGCTCACCCTTTTTCGATTGAACTATGCTATTAAAGCAGCAGGGGATCATTACGACCTTTGGCTTTTATAGACGACGAGAAAGAGGGGTGAAAAATTACCTATAAAAGCGTCTGTTTGATTCTCTCTCCTTTCATTTTACCTGGAAACTTCTACGGTGTTTGTTTGTTTATTAAATATATCAATAAAACAATATTATAATGTTGGTAGCTCCAAAATCTCTGCTAGTTCTCATGGTTTACGTTACAATCAGCGATGCTGAAATAACTGAGATAGATGACGAAAGTTGCGAGACTCTACAATCAGAAATACGTATCACTAAAGACGAATATGACGAGTTAGCACGTCTGAGAAGAACATGCAGCGGTGATGTATCGGTCACGAAATGCGAAGGATTCTGTAACTCGCAAGTACAGCCAAGCGTCGTCACTACTACGGGTTTCTCAAAGGTAAGTCGAGATAGTATCGTGTGGCATCTCGCGCAATTGAAGACGTACAAGAAATATTGCCTTTAATTCTCGATCTAATATCTTTTTTTTATAACACATACAGGAGTGCTACTGTTGCCGTGAGAGTTACCTAAAGGAAAGATTAGTCATCCTAAATCATTGCTATGACGCGGATGGGATCAAATTGATAGGCACGGATGACGAGGCAATGGAAATCAAGATACGGGAACCCGCCGAATGTAAATGTATAAAGTGCGGCGATTTCGCGAGATAAGACAGCAACTTGAAATATAAATTATATATTTTTTCGGCAGTGAAATTGCAACAATTGTATGTGACAATTATATCAATAGATATAGAAGAGAAATAATTATATTGTAATGACGGTAAAAATAAATAGTATTTCCGATGCATTTATATGGTATGAATCTACTTGTAGCCCTAATTATACAGTAGCTCTTCTAAATATATGTATATGCACATTTTTACATGTGACGATAAATACAAAATTCCTCAAAAGTTAATTTCCTTTAAATACATTTATACATACATGTATATAATTTAATTATCCTGTATATCGTTACATATTTTAAGATAAATATAAATCATTTAAATAAAAATTTGATATACTTGTTTCGCAATTCTTTCTCAATTACATACCTGTTATATGTATAGAATATTTGTTACATATAAGTCCGTATTTAGAATGCGTTTATAATGATGTTAAAGCGCATTTAGCATATAGTTCACGTTATATGTACTATTGGGATTTCAGAAATAAAAGCGTGTATGTATATTGTCAATAAAAACGCGTTCTGAATACAGGCTGTAATATATGAATATTGAACCCAAAAATAAAAATTTTCCTTTAATAAAAACGCTAGTGCATAAATATATATACATATATATATATGTATATATATATAGTATAAATTTGCAATTTTTTGAGCGATTAAACTTTTTGAGTTTTTGATTCTTAGTAGTTAACGTTAAAAGAAAAATTTATAAAATTGGGCAGAAGAAAATTGTTTCACAAACTATATAAATCAATGCCTTAAACGGTCTAGCTGGATCTTAAATGCTTGTGTGATTCTGTGTGAATTTATATAGTACGTATGTAGTCCTTTGAAACGCGCGCCGAAATGAGTTTTCGGTTTTGAAACTTGTTTCAGTTTTTAATACAAGATACTTCATTTTAAAATATTTATTAAATTCACTTAAAATATTTACTACGTAATATAAAACTTTATTAAGTAGTGCAGCAGAGCAAATTATTTTATAATATAATTTCACAATGTAGATCTAGTCCATCTGTTTGTTTGTTCGATTGTTCGTCCGCAAGATTTCTTAGAAGCGGTTCAATTTTTTAAAATTCTATTTTCGGTAATAGATACTTAAGGAACTTAGCTCCATCAAGGCAAAGTGACATAAGTTAAATCAGTTAATCATAATAAGGTCAAAAATCAAAATTAATAAGATTTTCAATAATATAAGATAAATTAAACGGCTTAACTTTTCAAAGTCTATCTTTTATTTCGGCATTTTTATTAAATTATACACATGTATGTTGTAAGTGCTATAGTGAATATTTCCTATAGTATATTCATAGTTTATTTTGTCATTATATATTATTGCTTAAAGCAATAAGATATTATAAAAAAATGCTTTATTTTAATCTTACAAATTTAATCCCACAAAGCTTTTAATTTTCGAAATTTTAAATATCTTTAGAAAACTTAATTTTAAATCAAAATACTGTTGCAACAAAATTGAGTAGAAATGCATTTAAGAATTAAAATACTGATTTAATTATTCTTTTTTAAATATTCTTTTTTTTAATTATTCCTTTTTAAATATTTTTTTTTTAATTATTCTTTTTTAAATATTCTTTAAACAAAAAATATATGGAACTTACATAACTGTAACTGGATTTTACATAATAATACTTCTCCGTTATATATCGATTTTTATCTTTGCTAATGAAAATTTACATAATTTTTAAATTATGCGTACAAAATTGTGAAAATATTTGATCATGAGTGAATTATTTTCCACATGTTCATATATGCTTCATTTTTTAGAAATAATGGCATTAATATTATATATATATATAATTTTTTAATGGAATTATGGAATAAAACTTAATTAGCAAGCTCTAGTTCAAATACTGTATATATAAATTTAGCGAACATGTTAGGAAACATTTTCTCATGTACATTCTTTATACATTTGTATATGGGGTGTCCCGTAAGTTTTTGCCAACTGCTTTTGTGTAGATAGAGCGGACTAAACTGAGTCGAAAAGTCTTCTACCATTTTGCAATTTTTGCAACAGTTAACGAAATATTACTAAAAATTGCCGAATATTGGTCTTCAATAATTGCAATAAACTTTTCGACTCAGTTTAGTCCGCTTTATCTACACAAAAACAGTTGGCAAAAAAAAACTTACGGGACATCCTGTATAGATTTTATAATATATAACACTGCTAAAATATAACAGAAGAAAGGGAACAATACGACCACCTATGGTGTATAAAAGCTAGCGACATAGGATCTACAAGCACAGTAAAGTACCAGGTAGAGAAGGCAATGTACCGCTCGAGAGGCAAGCTCTTTCGTTACTTTGGTAAATAAGCTAACAGTATATTTGCAAAACAAAAGTAATTTCCTTAGTAGTATTTCTTGCAATTTGCAAGTAAAATAGATATTATAATAATACAGTATTTTTGTACTTACCATACACAGTGATCAATGGATTGCTGATATGTTTGTTATACGGAGTCACAGAAGCAATTGTTGGAGTCGATGAGTGTCAGGCGACACGTGTGATACACTTCCTTCAGTATCCAGGCTGTGTTCCGAAGCCGATTCCCAGTTATGCGTGTAGAGGACGATGCAGTAGTTATCTACAGGTAAGAAACATCAAGACTAGTATTCATAGTCGGTAGTTCTTATTTTAAGTCCGTTTAAGTAATGTCTTAAGATGCTATAAATACCGGTCTATGTATAATTAGATATCTTTCGCAATAAATTATTTACAAGATTTTGAAGATGCCTATTAGCATCAATAACATTAAATTGCTTGTAAATTTAATTTGTGATATTATTGCTTCAGTTTAGTACTACATTTTAAAACCGACAAATAATCAGTGTACAGCTTGAATTGAAAATCCTATAAATTCACAAGAAATATTTTCAAGCATTGAAAAACTGCCTCAATCAAATATGGTATTTTTCATTTATGTGTATAGTTAGAGCTATCATAAGCCAATCACAGAACTGTATTGGTATCTTAATAAATTACTTAAATCAATCTTAAAATAAGAATAGATTATGAATCTCAGCCCAAGATACATTAGTGACAATCTCGCAAAGTACACACAAAATATAAGGTCAGTGAGTTCTATAATATAATGGAGCAACCCATTAAAAAATAGATGTTTCAATCCCTAGGCACTCTAATACAAAGGTTGTACTATTTTCTTTGTCAAGGTCTCGCTGATTGGCTACTACTATAAATGGGAGAAAGATAAATATTTGTTTGCATTCTTTTTGACTGAGTCGAATCAGTTTTCTATAGTGTTCTTTACTGTAGGAAAGGCACGTTCCAATACATTATAGAGCCCCTAGGGTGTCTTTCATTTAGGCTGTATTCTGAGATAAGACCGGAGCACAAATCTTTGCATTCATAAAGCATAAGAAAATTGTCCAGAGTTTTTCCTCTTTAAAGACTCTGACCAATTGATTTTCTTATGCTTTATGCATTATATAAAGATTTATGCTCCAACTCATGCACTATCAATATTGAAACTCTACAGTTCATATTACATATATTACAGATCTTTAGTATTGTATAGGGGAGAGTGGTCTAAATCGGACCGCGTTCTAAATAGGACCTTTTTAATTTAAATGAATACGGTTAAGCAGATTTGCGTACTATTTATAACGTAAGTCCTTATAAGACACCGAACATGTGATAGCAGTTTGACAGTTCTCTGTCATAAAATTCATAAAATAGAGGCAAATATGTATTTTCAGCCATCGTGCGAAAATTTTTTTAAAAAAGAAGATCCTTATAAATCATTATTTAAAAGGTGTTAAAAATTTGAAAAGTAATTGATTTAAGATAATTAAAGAGTGTAGAATTAAAAAATATCAAGCATTTCGTGATCACTTTTACGGTTAATTGTAAAATTTGTTCCAAAGTTCGAAAAGACCTGTGTCCAAATCGGACAGTGCAGTGAATAACTTAGGCCTGGTTGTAGTACTGGTGATCGGCTGACTAGATCTGGTCCAAGCAATTAAATCAGTAAAATATCATGAGTCATCAGACTCAGATTAGTTGAGTTTTATTGATTTCTAATAATATAAACAGTCAGTATTTTCTTTTTCTGAAAAAAATGTTTATCTTTGACTGTCAGATTGCTTTTACTCAATACTAAGAAAAATACATTAAAATATTTTAAAATTCTATCTAAAAATCCATAAAAATAGGAGTTTTCGATTTGAACCAGGGTATGGTCCGATTTGGAACCAATAGTTCTAATCGGACCGGAAAAAGCGTTTTTACATTTTCCATTATAGTTTAACACAAGTGAGAGATACATCAAAATAATCTCAAGCAAAAATGAAGGGAATTAAATGATCTTTCCAACAGCACCTTCGATTTTACGATCGGACTTTATTTATGTCTTATAGAGAGCAAAAATTGCAAATAAGTCCGATTTAGACCACTCTCCCCTATATGCAAGCTTTATGTCTGTTTCTATCAATATAAATTAACTTCAATCTCAATTCAATTTTGTCTCTTTCTAGTTCTAAGAATTAAGAAAAAATGAAGAATAAGTTGAACCAAGATTAAAATTAATCAACATTCCATCTTTCTTGGCATTTCACGAATAATAGAACAATACTTGTGTAAACTTGTGTTACCAAAATAAAAAGCACCCAATATCTATCTTAACTAATACCCAGTTCTGTGAGTAATGGTAACGATATGATGCGCGAGTAAAAGCTCCATGGACGCTTGAAAACCGTTTAGAAATAATAAATGTGGTATATTTAATACTCACTAGATACGCTGAGACATAATACCCTGCGCAAACATTTTCAAAATCAACTATACAAAAAAAGACATTCTCTAAATTTTAACACTACAAGCAGGAGTCTCGTGCGTTCCGTACAAAGTGTATATGCGCAATAAACAATAACACTTTAAAAACATGAGTCGAGTCGTGGGCTAATAATCTGATACTGCAAAACACTTGCGATTATTATGACTGACGTTTGACAGAGTCCATTATCTCTTTCTTATCTCTCTCGCTCTATCCCTCTAACACAAATGAGAGAGAAAACGCGTACGATAAACATGCGGCTTATTGGTACACACAGGTGTCCGGGTCGAAAATGTGGCAAATGGAGAGGAGCTGCATGTGCTGTCAGGAAAGCGGCGAGAGAGAGGCTAGCGTCTCCTTGTTCTGTCCACGGGCGAAACCAGGGGAGAAGAAATTCAGGAAGGTGAGACCACCCTCGGATCGCGCGGCCGACCTCGGACGCGGCTCGGCCGGCGGCGGCGCGAACGTCAGCCGGGTCGTAAACGGGATCGCGTGAACGTGGACGCGGTCGCGTGCCGTTCTCTTCCCTTGTTCTCTCACCGATCACACGATGATAGGATCCGCAGCAAAGCCGTTTGACACCACGAGTTTCGCGCGGCCATATTGTTTTTGTGCGCAGTTGACCGAGGTTTCCTATCGTTTCCCGCGGTTCCTAGGGAATTTCTAACTACCGTCGTTTATATTTTCGGTTGGCTGTCCTTTTTGCGGAAGGATGGGCAATCGAAATGAGTATTTCGAAATTCTCTAGGATTCTCTAGGACAGCAAGGAAAAAAATCAATTTTTTTATCGTTCCTAAGAAATTTTGAAAAACTCATTTATTTCGATTATCTATCCTTTGATCCTTTCGTGAAAAGGATAGAGACAATATATAATAATTAATTAATTATATAATTTTTATTAATACTAATTTTATTAATAATTGTATTAATCATATAATTTTATAATTTAATTTACATTGAAAATCATAAATTAAATTGTGAAATCAAATAATCCTGTCATCCCGATATTTTTATATTTGAATATAAATATATATTTCTTTTAAAATTTATATAAATGGGATAAAGACTTAAATAAGTAGCGTATTAAAATCTTAATAAGCTATTTAAAAATTTCTCGATAGAATAAATCGATTATCCCTTTATTTAATAACAGACGTTCCGGAAAATAAGAGACGTTATCTTCCGGGATACCGAAATTATTCCGCAAATCAATATTCGAAAAACCAAGTTGGACATCCTGGTTGATATTTCTTTCTTGCAGATCCATAAGATGCTCATTAGCAATATTAAATTTTGCATTAATTCCTGTAACGTGTAACTTGACCTCTGCCTGTCCACTAGATGGTCACCAAGGCGCCGCTGGATTGCATGTGCAGACCGTGCACCAGCGTGGAAGAGTACGCGATAATACCCCAGGAGATCGCCGGATTCGCCGACGAGGGTCCCTTCACAACATCCGCCCATTTCAGACGATCCTCCGGCTTACAATAGACGAGCACGAGTGTCGTTCGCGAGGACGCAATCTCGAAAAATCGCGCGTGCTATACGAAAGACGCCAATATATTTAATTTCGCGCGTATCATGTACTATTAAAACTAATCTCTAATAAATGTATCGATCTTTCTCAGTCGAATATGAATGCATACGAATGAATATAAATAAATAAGAGATGTGCAGCAGATTTAAACGCGCACATGGTCCTTCTCTTCAATCCCTTTCGTGGAAATGTAAATAAATTCGACGCTTCGTTATTTTGTTATTTAAATTCGAATTACATGGTTGGCCCATTAATTTAGTTACCTGCGACGGTTTTGGTGCAAAGCCGTGTTTCATAAACTGAGTTTGCCTGAAGAAAGTGCGTCTGCAATAATCTTCGAAAAGAATTGTTGCAAAAAGAGAAAAAAAAAACCTTTTATGAGAAGAAGGTTCAGGAAGGGGTAGAATATAGAGAAACGTTACAGATGACGAATACTGTAACTCATATGTTTCAAACTAAGAAGAAATTATGAAACATTGCAGACTCTGTTAATATACTTAAATAATAATATATATATTTACATACAATATATAGGTATGTTCCATATTTCAAGTCTGTAATCGATTCGTCCGTGTTTCGTATTTCGAAAATGGTAGATCGAAGGTTCTGACAGATGACGATTTCTTTTGAGAGAC